TTCCTGCTGCAGATTATGAAAAACAGGATCTGGGGCCTTACATCTTGCAGCTGCATCCTCTTCACGTCTCATGTAGCCAAATCTATGCATCTGGGACTTGGGCAGCTGGAAACAGCTAATAGTATTAGCCCCTCCACAAGCTTCCTCAGAGTCAGATGGGCTAGTTCGTTCCCCTGCTGGGCTGTCATCGTGGCATGAAGTCATTAGGGGTAGGGAGATACTCAGTAGGGCAAGAGGGAACTGGCTTAGCTCCATTTTACAAGTGATTAAATGAAAAAGAGAATAGGTCTACAGACACATCCAATCCACTGGGGGACAGACCAGGCTAGTGTAGTGGATCACAGATAGGAACAGGGTGAATTTGGGATAAGATATTAGAGTCAGCAGATCAAATGTGGAAAGGCAGTGGTAGGAGAGAAAAGAATTATCTGTAATAATACTTCAATTGACCTGGTGCTCCCCACTGACCAAGAAGCTCAGAATTCATGCCAGTATACCAGGCAGAGCTTTTCAAAACATTCAGACATCCATATTGCCAGAGCACAGTACTCTTTCTCCTAACAGTGGAAGAGCAGTCCACCTGATTCCTCCCCACAAGAGTAGGGTGAAGGCCAACGCTGACAATAGGAAAGATAACAAATGCAATTACGTTAAACACCTTCCTATAGACCCAATTGCTGTAGTATCCAAGTACCTCATAGACATCCATTCATTTGCCCTCACAAAACTCCTATGAGACAAAGTGCTATTAATCGTATCAGAGGAAACAAGTTGTGAAGCCTAAGCAAAACCACCCTACACTGGTAGGAGAGGGAGGCTGTTGGGCACTGGGGAGTGGAAAGAGAGAGAGAGAGGGAAGGAGGGTGGCCAGTCTTATCTTCCCTGGAAATGTAAAGATTTCAGTTGCTGCTGTGTCCCCTCACCCAACTCCTATGGCTAACATCCCTCTAAGTTGGTGCCCAAGACTGGTCCACTGCTCACCTCCCTCACCTCAAATTATGCTACTGACTTTCATCTCATTGATGAGGAACTGAGGTAAAGAGAAATTAGAACCTTGATCCTGCTTCCATTCAAGTCAGTCGTAGGGCTGACACTGACATCAATGATGGCAGGATTAGGCTACAAGCAAAATGTCCAAGATTGTGCAAGAAGATTGTCATACACTCAGGAGAAGAATCCACCACGTGTCCTGACTTCTATCCATAATACCATCCAACTTCATGAAAAGCCCAATGAGTGCTAGTGTGCTCATTAGAGTTGCATTCAATACTAGTCTGACCTTGCCTCTCTAACAGTAAACACCAAGGGCAAATTGAATAATCTGGTCCCATTCCTTTAATAGAAAGGGGATGGTAGAATCAGCAATCATGTCATTTAAGGTTTATTAATACTCTAGCCATATTGGATATGTGCTTCAAAGAACGTAGGGTACAATAAAAGTATATACTAACACATTCCCAGAGGTCTGTGGCTTTGTAAATCATTCTAATTTAAACTGCATCATTTCTTTAGAACATTTTTAAGCTTACCTCAAACAGTTTATTAATTCTAAATATTATAACAACAGACATTACATTAGCAGCAGGAAAATAATTCTGAGCTGAGATTAAAGTCATAATGATTAATGCCCATATTTAACTAAAGTTTCCTAGTAAACACTTTTTTTTAATACTTTCAGAATAGGAAACTATTTTAACACACACCATATTCATTCTAACATAATTAATCATGAAGAACTGCCCTGCTATTCATGTGGATATAAAATGTAATTCCACAGGAATTTCATTGTAATTTAACATTAATTAATATTTAATCTGTTGTAAAACACCTCCATTCTTTCAACCCTTCCCTTCTAAAGTTTCCCCAGGTATGTTCATTTGTTAAATCAAACTGCTGTCATGCTCATGTCACAATTTTCTTTAGGATTTTCTTTAGTAGTGTTCCCCACATTTGGACAATCTCCAAGCTGTTCCAAGATTTTTCTTTGTGTGTTTGCTGTTCTTATCCAGTTAAGTCATGCCTGTTAGAATTTAACAAGACAATCATAGACACAATACATCAGTTAAAGTGATTCATAACGTCACCACAGTATTTCACTGAAGATGCAACATGACAGCACTGAAGTGCGGAGATGGTCTCAAATCTCTGCCTCTCTCCTCCTCCAAATATTAGGCTCTCTCAGCTCACCCAACCCTGTAAAACTAGATGGTGGTAACATGTAACAAAAAATCCTTATTGTTACAGTAGATAACCTTAAAATCATAGGGATACATGAAACAAAATTCCAGAGTAGAACTGCCTGCAATTCTGAGGAAACTGAGATCAGAGTCCAAGCTGTGTTTGCAGCCTATCTCCTCAATATATCCAAGTCATCTTCCTGTTTCCCCTGTACCAAAACACAGGGAAAAGTTTGGAGTCTAGTCCAAGATACTGCAGCTACAGTTTATTGGTAAGAAGCCCTATGTTACACATGCCAGACTGGCTTATGCACATTCGGTATAATATTTTTAGAAAAATAAAAAGCAGAAGGGATTGGGGGCATCACATGCAGAAAACCCATAATATAAAATCAAAGATCATTGTTACAGCTGAGTGATATCCAGGCTTTAGTGCTCCATAAGGCACTTAAAAATGGGTCGCTACAGATATCTGTTAAATACAATGGATCCTCATTCAGTTATTCATGAATGTTTGGCAAGAACTTGGATTACACAGTACAGTAAGCAATAACTTATATTTACCTTATGACTCATTATAGATTTGTTGGGTGAGTGAATTCATTCCTCCTCATTCATTCCTCTTGCACTGTGTATATCAGACACAACACACTTACACATACACACATTTATACATTTCTGATGGTTTGTGGAATTTGTCTACACATAAATAGACAAAGTATGAAGTTGTTGTTGTGAAATTATTGTCTCTCGTGGAATACCTCTAGGTGGATGTGAAATCCTCCACTTACTGGAAGGGGCTTTATCACTCCCTGCCAGGCTAGGGATAACTGTTGGTCGTTAAACCCTATTGGTTGTCTATTTAGGCATGTGGTAGCTGACACAAAAGAGAACCAGTTGTTTTTTTTCTGCTTGCCTGCAGGTGGTTAGGGTTTGAAGAATAGAAAATCCCCAAACTCAGAACAAAGAAACCACAATGATGATGCTAGACTTCAAACTCAGTGAGGCAGGGTAGGTCAGGAGGTAAATGCCAAGATCCGTGCAGGACACAGTGGGCAAGAGAGAAGAACAAATGAGCATACTTCCATAGCAGGGTTAGGACCAACCAAAGTCAAAGAAAGTTAGCTCTCCTAAAAAGGCTCCATGATTCTGAAAAACAAGGTCAAAGCTGCAGGAGAGAGAGCTTGGATACCTAGCAGGCCTTGCCAAAGCCTAAAGAACTCTAGAATTGGTGAGGAAACTGAGCCAGAGAAATGTGCATAGAATTTACTATTTTTTGTCTACAGTTCTGTATTTTTCATTTTAGCAAAGTAATTTAGAATCCTATTCAAAGTCTAGTGCCCATGCACATATGGGTATGTGTGCTATCTTATGATTGAAAAGTTTAACTATAAAACCAGAGTGTCCACTAGGGCAGAGTCTGAGAAAAAGTGTGCGCTTAGGTTCATGGTATTCTAGGAGGCTCAGCACTGCCAGGAGGGCACCTGGGCTGCAGGATCCAATTTCTATGCAAGAGGTAGAAGATCTGTGTCCTGCAAATGTGCCAGAGACGACTAGAAAAGGAACAGCACTTTAGTCCATATAGCTTATGGGAAGCTTAAGTGCCCATGAGATGCAGTATAATGGGACCCAACAGAACAGCTTGGACACTGTCCAAATGGGGGGAACACTACCAAAGATATGATAATAGGTACCATGGTAACCTACCTATCCAGGCATAAAATTTACTTTACCTCCCAAAGCAAGAGACTAACAACAACAAGAGACAGGGAATGGTAGAGAGGAAATGAGTGGAAAGTATTTCATGACCGTGCCAATATTTTTCTTCTCCCAGTCAACTGAGCAAGGAGGATTGAAAGATTAATAGATGTGGACATGTAAACAGTTATGACCTTCAAAGGCCTCTGAGGACCTAACAAAAAGTATTATCCAAATCCTAAGTTTCAACCATGGTCCAGTAGCATACTGCTGCCATCCAGCAAACCTTGAAAAAACACATGCCATACTACTTTGCTAAACTTTGAGCCTCCACATCCCCAAATAGAAGACATCACAAGGCTGAAGTCTGATATCACAATATTGATATAAGGTGAGGGCTCTCAGTAGCAGCCAAAGGGCAAGGTCTCACCCCATTAGATAACATCAACTAAAATGGCCTTGTTTATGTCATTTTTCCTTTAAAACAGTGACTGCTATATCTGCATGACTCATGTGGTTATTATAGGTGTCAGATCTTGAATTCTTTAATGAGGCAACTTTCATTGGCAGCGTTGCCTGAGAAACACGATTGAAATGCAGTGACCTATGCACCATTTAAATCTTACTGTATTTACTCACATATGACTTGTACCTTTCCCCTAAAAAGCAGGCCTCCAAAATTAGAATGTAGGTCTTAATCAGGGGAACAGATTTTTCTTCACAGAAATAGAAGCAAGAGGACACTGCTGCAAGATGACTGCTGTGCTTCTCTCTCTGCCAGCCTCAGGGTGGGAAGGGGAGGAGTTCACCTTTTGGCTAAGTACAGACAGTCAAAAAGCCCGAGGTTGAACTGATTCAATCTTCATAGGTTAATCTAAGCTGCGTAGATTGAATCAATAAGCAACTGAACAGACATTCACTTTTGATTCCAGAAATGCAGCCACATGCCTGCAGTGGCCCAGGCCAGATGACAGGGAGTGCTAGAGCACGCCTCCCTGCTCAGGTGGAGCAGACATCTTAGGCTAAACGTAGCTGGCCCACCATGTAGGCAGGGGAGGTTTCTGAGGGAGGGAAAAAGAATCCTGGGGTGCTGGGGGACTGTGAGTTAATTTGAATCTGGAGGGGATCTGGGACAGACGTTCAATAAACTGATTTAACCTAAATTACTTAATCATCTGGGTTTATCTTAAACCAGTTTTGGCCATTTTGAAAGCAGTTTATGTGCACTGAACTTCTGGTGCATTACAGATTTGAACCGGTTTCTGATAGCTTATATCGGTTTATGTATAATTTCTGTCCCTAGCCTTCAGGGTCAGAGGTACAGTGTTAACTCTCTCTCAGCCACAGCTGCTTCACTCAGGATACCCTGCAAACATGTATGGATATGACTGGAAAATCTTTTTTTCTTCTTTCTGCCTTACCAGAACAAGGTGTACATCATATTTGGTAGCATGCAGTATGTGAGAAAATACAGTACTTCAGTCTTCATAACAGGGCTTAAATAGGATTCAAGTGGTGCAAATGGCTGGTGTTAGCCCATGTCAACTTCATAAGTATCAAAGTGCCACATTCTGTAAACTCTTACATACTCATTCATGGGAGGAGTTTTATCAATGTTAATAGCCCTAAATCCTTAAGGGTCTTGAGCTGTCTAACTCCCATGAGGAACTAGACCAAGTGATTAAAGTTTATATTTGAACTCATTTATACAAGATTTTATCTGCAGTTTGGTCATCTCTCTAATTTAGTTTAAGGTATCCAGGTTGTAGTTGTATTGATCTAGAGGAAAAGGCAATCACGACTTGTAGTAGAGATGATATTTTTATTAGACCCACAAGATTTTTGCAAAAAATGTCCTTAATTGCAATCTTTCAGGCACAAACACCCTTCCTTAGGCATCACCATTCATCACAGGCAACTTTGACCACCTGAAACCTGAGATCCTACTCCTGGCCTTTGTTTGAAGGTAATTTGCATCACCACAGATCCTCACAGGAGGAGAGAATCTCCATACCAGGTATGAACTGACTGCTCAGAAGAGTTTCCATCTATTGACTCCTCTGTGAAATCCTATGAAATATGAACTTGCATTTCTACCCAGGAGAACTTTTACAGTCTTTTCTCCAATGCCTGATGAAGGGCGTTTGTGCCCACAAACTTGCAATTAAAGAATTTTTTTGCAAAAATCATGTTTGTCTAATAAAAGATATCATCTCTATTACGAGTTCTGGTTAATTTAGTTTAAAGCACTTAATTTAGATTTTTATTTTTAAAACATCAACATAAGTGCACATTTCTATTTTAAAAGGGCCAAATTCTGCTTTGACTGTGGTATAACCCTAGTGCAATGGTTTTCAACTTTTTTTCATTTGCAGACCACTAAAAAATTTCAAATGGAGGTGCAGGCCCCTCTAATGCTAAATGTCGGTATTCGTATACTTTTGATTGATCATAGTCATCTTTTGCTCATCCTTTACACATAGTCTGCACCACAGTTTGAAAACCACTGCTATAGTGCAATACCTTTGGCTTCTATTAATTTACATTTTTACAGGAGAAAAATCTGGCCCAAATACTCCAGTTGAGAAAAGCTGATTGTTGCAAATACTTTAATGCATTAAATAAGGTAAGAAGCTTTATATATTTGTATAAACAGTTGGTATTCTAAAGAGTTAAATTAGTTTGTGAATTTCTCCAGTGTACTAATATGAAGGACATACTGGCAGGATATTTATAAACTACACCTCTTCAGTAGCATGGAGTCCAAAACAAGCAAATCTTTCATGGCTTTGTTTGTATTATTCTTGTTTAATCTGGAGCAGTCTGCTTTTTTAAAAAATGACCAATGTCCAGCAAGATTTTGAGATTTAAAAAACAAAAAACCCCAAACCACTGGGCCAAATTTACCTCTGGTGTCATTCTTTTGATTTCAATAGTTACATTAGGGATGACTAATCTTTTTTATTTACTTGCCAACTCTCATCAAATACTACTAAGAAGATACAAATAAATAAAAGACTGGCCCCTCAATCCTGTTCCCAGTGAAGTCAATGTAATCAGCCCATACAAACAGAACAGAAATAGAAAATCTGTACTAATTAAAATGGTTTTCTGCTTTCTTTTTTAATTTACAGCTTGATAACATACACTGCCATTTTTATCCCTAGAACTTCTTAACAAACATTCCCTTCTCTTGAAAAAGTATTCTGAGCTGGAATATGATGCATTTTACGCTAGTATTACACTTGTGCAATCCTAATGATTTCTATTAGATTATCTGCGATTTGCACTGATGTAAGAAGTCTAGCACACTCAATACCCTCTGATAAAAAGGTGATACTCCCAGTATTAGCAACATGTAAAAGTTATTCTGGGCACTTTTGGAATACACCCATACTTTGAGATAACCTATGAGATCACAGGTCCTCGGAAATAGATTTTTTTCTGTTCTCTAATCAAAGATAAAGCCAGTGATGATGGGTAGGGAGTGCAAGTGCACCCCCTAAGAGCACCGGTGGCGCTCGCTGCTCAGGTGATGGGCAAGGGGGCAGGTGGGAGCACCAGTCCCCCCAGCAAGTGCCAGCCAGGGAGTGGGAGCACTGCAGCCACTTCGTGATTGACCACGGGGGGGGAAGGGGGGGTACAACATCCCTTGTCAGTGAGATTAGCCATGGGGGAACCCTCCCCCCGGTTGCTGACTGGTCGCTGGGAGGCAAGTGCCTACCCTGACTAAGGTGGCACCAGTAGCCCATGGATAAGCACTATGTTGTAGTGGATGGAGCACTGGACTAAGTTTCTGGAGACCTATCTTCTAGATCAGTGGGTCTCAAACTTTAAGTTGAGGCCCCCCTTGTTAGATTTGAGGCACCACTCAGAAAATGCCAGTTCTTAGTTTTCACTCATGTTTTTAACTACAGAAAAATAATAGAGCAGTTTTTCTGTTGCAAAGAACTCAGAAAGATCACAACAGGTAAAACAATACAAATTCCTGTTTGAAATTGTTAGGATTATCTTGTTAATCATGTTGGCATGCCTAACAGTGCTAACATTGCATCAAACCCGGCAGCACCCTTGAAAGGACCTCATGGCACCCTGGTTAAGAATCACTGTTCTACATAACTGACATATGCCTGCTGAGTGACTCTGGACACATCAATAATTAGTCTGCTGCCTAGTTTCCCTGCCTATAGAATGGTGATAATGATACTTACTTTGTAAGCAATTATGCTTCCTTTGGAAAATGGAAATAATGGTATATCCTATGTAAAATGTTTTGAGCTCTACAGGCAGAGAGCATTACATAATAAGAGCTAGGTATTATTATTATTATTAAATTCAAACTTAAAAGTAGAGAAACACCACAAGGCAAATACTAATCATTAACAATAATCTAACAGCTATATTCATCTCAGTTGTTTTTCAGGGAGGGGACAAAAACCAGATACACTGGAGTCAGCTGTGATTTACTGATCTTGCAAAAGGAAATATAAGCGATTATCCTGTTTCTCTTGGCATTTATTAAAGACACATTGATACCATATAAAAGAGGAGAGGGGAAGAAAATGAAATATCCACATCTTGATTAAAGGCTGAGCGAGTTAAGACAGGATAGTCTACTGCAGGGATGGTCAACCAGGGGTATGCATAACCCCAGGGGTACTTAGAAAGGTCTTAGGGGGTACGCGCAGACGGGTGGGGATAGAGCATGCTCTGAGACGCGGCAGTGGCATCTGCCCTGGTGCATTCCCACACGTGGCTGGGAGTGGCAGAGGGGGAGGGACATGCCGGGCACTGCTGGCCCCAAGCTCTACACCATGGAACCTCCCTGGCCCCCACCCCAGCTCACTCTCCCTATTGGCCATTAGCCCCTTACAGCAAAGCTGCAAGGGGCTGAATGGCAGGGTGGGGGGGCTACAGCAAATTTTGGGTTGGCTGCAGCCCCTCCCGTAGCCCCACTCTGTAGGCCCCCTGCAGTAAGGGAGGGAGTGGGGCTTGCCCGGGGTGGGGGGGAGGAGCAGGCCCTGCACAGCCAGGGCAGAGCACAGGAGGGGCAGAGCATGGGTAGGAGGACGCTGGGGGAGGTGGCTCCTGCCGCTGCACACATCCCGGGAGGCACGAGGGGTGTGTGCCCCCACATCCGCGTGGGGCTGGGCAGCAGCCACTGTGGGCTGGGGCTGCGCCAGGCTGTTCCTAGCAGGGTCTGGGCTGGGCTTCATGCAGGGCAGGCAGTGGCGGTGCTGGCAGGGTGATAGCAGGGCCTACAGCATATTTTGGGGTGGCTGCAGCCGCCCGGTAGCCCCGCTGCCAGTGCCGCCACCACCCACCCCAAGCGCAGCACGGCCCACCCCCTGCCGTGAAGAGTTCAGTACAGTCCCGGCCCCAGCCCACAGCAGCAGCCATCATGTGCAGATTCAGGGGCACATGCCCCACATGACCCTCTGGGGTACATGCAGCAGTGGGAGCCACGCGCCCCACAGCTCAGTCCTGCACCCCACCTGGGCTGTGCAGTGTCTACCCCAGCCCCAGTCCCTCCCTCACCATTGGGGTCTATGGTAATGGGGCTACGGAAGGGGCTGCAGACACCCCAAAATTCACCATAGCCCCCCCAACCCACCCCCTCCCAGCACTGCCACCACCCACCCTGAACACAGCCCAAGCCCAACATCCCTGCCAGGAACAGCCCGGAGGAACCCCGGCCCCAGCCCACCCTGCCCCACCCTCAGATTTGGGGGCACATGCTCTCCGTGCCCTTCCTGGGTGTGCACAGTGGTGGAAGCCACCCACCCCTCCCCCAGGATCAGCTGCTCATGGCTCTGTTCCATGCCCTGCCCCAGCTGGGCAGGGCCTGCTCCAGCCCTAGCCCCACTCCCTCCCTCCCTGCTGGGGCCTCAATCTGTGCGTCCCTCCCCCCCCCTTAAAAATAAGAAAAAAAATATGATGGGGTACACGAGCTGAAATTTTGACACAGAAGGAATACACTCGTTTAAAAAGGTTGAAAAGTGGAACACACATTTGAAGATGCCAAAGGTTCATTTGCTGTTATCCTTGCATGCAGTGAACAAGTTTAGGTGAAAGGCATGTCCTGGGTGTTAATGAGCAGCTGGGAGGAGCTGATGACTGGAGGCACTGCCGTGGGTCAGTAACCACAGCTGGACATTCAACCCCAGGCAGTTCACTGTACTGAGGCCATTATTGCTATTATACAACATGAAAGTGGAAAAACAAAAGCACGCATGCCCCTTTCATTTTCTTTTTACAGGTGATACAGCCACAGTTGCTCCATATGAGGCACTACTATAGAACCAGTATCCTGTAAATAGAGAGCTCCTGTACTGACTGCATTGCTCATTTTTTATATTTAAATAATGGAATTATTTTTAATTAAAATGCAGCATCCAGGGAGCCGTCTGCAAAATGTACATCCCATTTGCTTTGGGTACTTGATAATGGACCCAATTGTACCATTAACTCCTCATGGCCAGACCCTTCTGCTTGCACTTAAAGAATGAGGACTATCTGGGAAGACAACTGACCAACTCAAACCCTAGATAACCAACTCAACAAAAGAGATACACTCTTAGAAAATTTTCTGAACCCCAACTAAAACTACACTGACTATACAACTTGACTTGCAAGCGTGTATGATCCAAGAGAATAGGAGGCCTTATGAACCAATTCTTCCATAACTGAGGAATGTTCCAATGAATATTTGTGTATTAACAAGGACACGGTTTTGCACTCAGTGATGCCAGCAGCAACAATTCAGAATTTTAAGCAGTGAACAAAATAGCCTAAAGTTCTAAGGATTGGCTGTCGGTAAACTGCATGCGTTAGAAAAGTATTCAGGCAGGTTTCATTGTGCCTGTGACTTACTGTAAGTGAGTAGTCAGTTAAAGCTTCACTGCTGCAAGGTAAAGGCATGCATCATTGCTTTCCTCAGAAGCGTTCATAAGCAGTTTTGGGGCCTTAAAAATAAAGGTATCTGAATAAAAGGAGAACATTTTCTCAAAGATTTTTATCCCATTTTTGGTTGGAACAACATTTGGAATTTCTTCATTCACCCAAAACTGAGCACCTCAATTGGCTGAAGAAGGGGAAACAAAAGATCAAGAAGTCATCACGATTCTTCTGTTTATTGTCAAATTGTTGAACTTCTAAATGTCATTAGCAATTTTAATATTTCCGACAGCTCTATTAAGAACATCACTTTCTGTGCAACATTGTGCCTGGCTACTCAGCTAGCCGTAGATAGCATATTACATCAAGCACCTACATTATTACAAGATTAAAACTGCAGAGATTATGGGCTTGTATCAGGAATAGCAAAGAGAGGTTTTGTGGTCTGTATTGTGTTGGAGGTAGATTTGGAACAATGGTTCCCAATCTTTGCTGACCCATGGACAATAAAACTGAACAAAGAACATACAATAGGCAGCATCTTACTTTGCTCACCCTGTTAACCTGAAGAAACAGGAATCTGTGGAAGGCAACATTTCCTGTGCATCAGGAAATCTCACAAGCACCATGAACTAGATGATTTTAATAGTACAGTTAGGATAATTTTAGCCCCTTTGTATATATTACATGATCACACTAATACTAATAATATATCTACACTAATAAAATCTGTAAATTATCATATTACTAATAATTATTAATATATATAGATTAATAATCTATATATAGGTGAATATATCACCTGTAATAACAGGATATTATTAGTAAAGTATATTTCATCCTATATGGTGCTACAGGGTACACTGGGGCTATGTTGCTCATGAGCTGCTGCTGGTGGTGTAGGGAGTGTCATCAGAATACGATAGGCAAGATGTTCCCAGAGAAAATGTTGCTAGTAAATAACTGTTGCTCTTACCAGCTATAGCTGCAAATGGACACATAATATATTAATCACTTAATATAATTAAATCTATCTATTTGTCTATATACAATACTTACATTGTTCCTGTAATTCATTCATATTGGCAGCAGGGTTTGCAGCAGTGTCTTCAGGCTGGTTATTCCAATATATATACAAAACCAAGTTAGGACATCTAGTTTCTTGAGCCAAGAGAGGAGTTAAACAATGGTACATTTCCACTTGTTAGCATATCCTCTAACTTGTAAAATAATAAGATACATCAGGCAGACATAGGCAGCAGTAGGAGAGTCTATGGCTTAGTATCCCCACAGGTAGGATCATGAGACACTAATGACACTGAAACCAGAAGTTAGTTTACAACAAAAAAATCAAACAGAAAAATAATCTCTGAGCTATTTTTAGTCTGGTCCTCTATTGCAAAACTCCTTTCTGCTTTCAACGTATATCTTAAACTTTGCCAGTAAAAAAGTGAATGCTGCCTTGTGGTAAGAACGTGAGTATCTGTTTAAGTTCCCTGCAGCAATTCTCACTCCTCCGGAAGTGGCCCAGATTTTCATTTGCACTGAGGCTATTTTACAATGCTTTGTCAGTACAAAGGCAGACAAGGTTCTTTGGGTAAATGATCTTTTATTAGACCAACTAAATAGTTGGAAAAATTGTTCTTTGCAAATTTTCGGGCACAAACACCCTTCTTCAGGCATATAGAGAGTCTTCTGGTGAATTGTGTGGTCTCTCAAGTAGAACAGAAGCCAAAATGCCTTTTCATGGCCCACCTGGAAGAAGAATCTTTCAGGAACTGCACCATCAAAGCCATGCTATACCTAACATATATAGATGACATCTTCATCATTTGGACTGAAAACCTGCAGTCACTGATTGAGTTCATAGTTTCATAGTTTCAGGGTCGGAAGGGACCTAATAGATCTTCTAGCCCGACCCCCCGCCAGGGTGGGAGAACAACAAAAGAACCCTAAACAAAAAACGGGACTCAAATGAGTCCAGCCAGGTAGGTATCCAGCCTCTTCTTAAAGATCCCCAGGGTAGGGGCCAGCACCACCTCCCTTGGAAGTTGGTTCCAGCTCCTAGCCGCCCTAACTGTGAAGTAATTTTTTCGGATGTCCAATCTGTACCTCCTCTCCATCAACTTGTGCCCATTACTCCTTGTTATGCCAGCGGGGGCTAGGGGAAACAGCGTCTCCCCCAAACCCTTCTGGTTCCCCCTAGTGAGTTTATAGACGGTCACCAGGTCCCCCCTCAGCCTTCTCTTGTGGAGGCTGAATAGGTTCAGGTCCCGCAGTCTCTCACTGTAGGGTCTGCCCTGTTGTCCCCGGATCATGCGGGTGGCCCTCCTCTGGACCCTCTCCATGTTGTCCACATCCCTCCTGAAATGGGGCGCACAGAACTGGACACAATACTCCAGCTGCGGCCTGACCAGCGTCGCATAGAGGGGGAGGATCACCTCCCTGGCTCTACTCGAGATGCACCTGTGGATGCACGACAAGGTCCGGTTAGCCCTGCCAACCATGACCTCGCATTGTCGGCCCATGTTCATCTTGGAGTCAATAATGACACCAAGATCCCTTTCCGCCTCCGTGCTCTCAAGTAGGGAGCTCCCCATCGTATAAGTGTGCTGCTGGTTCCTACTACCCAAGTGCAGCACCCTGCACTTGTCCGTATTGAAACACATCCTGTTCCTGTTTGCCCACCCCTGTAACCTATCCAGATCCTTCTGCAATCTCTCTCTCCCTGCTAGCGTGCTCACCTCCCCCCAAATTTTGGTGTCATCAGCGAATTTAAACAGGTTGCTTTCCACCCCAACATCAAGATCGCTGATGAAGAAATTGAACAGCGCAGGCCCCAGGACCGAGCCCTGGGGGACTCCACTACCCACCTCCCCCCAAGTCGAGTATGATCCATCCACCACCACCCTCTGAGTGCGACCCTTCAGCCAATCTGCAATCCATCTGACTGTGTAGGCATCTATGCCACAGTCGCCTAGTTTATTAATTAGGATGGGGTGAGAGACGGTGTCAAAGGCCTTGCTGAAGTCCAGAAAGACTACATCCACCGCGACACCTGCGTCCATGGCCTTTGTGACCTGATCATAAAAGGCAATCAGGTTGGTCTGACATGATCTCCCCCTAATAAATCCATGCTGATTGCCCCTGAGCATCATCTCGGATGCCGGCCCATCACAAATGTGCTCCTTGATGATCTTCTCAAAGAGCTTCCCCAGGATTGAGGTAAGACTGACGGGCCTATAATTGCCCGGGTCCTCCCTTTTCCCTTTTTTGAAGATGGGGACCACATTAGCTACCTTCCAATCGTCTGGCACCTGGCCCAAGCACCACGATCGCTCGTAGAGCCGTGCCAGGGGCCCTGCAATAACCCCAGCCAGCTCCCTCAGCACCCTGGGGTGGAGAGCATCCGGACCCGCTGACTTGAACGCGTCCAGCCCCTCCAGAAGCTCTCTAACCCGGTCCTCCCCAACCTGAGGTCTGAAGGCGATCCCCTCGCGTCCGGCTTCTATCACAGCAGGGAAGTCCCGGTCCCTGCACAAGAAAACGGAGGTGAAGAATTGGTTAAAGAGGTCCGCTTTATCCTCTGACGCAACCACCAGATTGCCCCGCATATCCTGCAGGGGCCCCACATTACCCGGCGCCTTCTTCATCCTCCCAATATATTTGAAAAAGGACTTTTTGTTATCCTTAATCCTGGACGCTAATCCGAGCTCTATCTCCGCCTTGGCCTTCCTAACAGCCCGCCTGCAGGCCCGAGCAGAGGAGGTATACTCCTCTTTGGAGATTACACCCCCCTTCCACCGGGCGTACGCCACCCTTTTGGCAAGCAGGCATTCCCGGACACCCTTGGTGAGCCAGGGGGGCTTTTGGACACTCCTGCCCGCCTTGCTTCTTGTCGGGATGGACACCCCTTGGGCCCCGAGTATCGTTTCCTTAAGGAACGACCACTCCTCTTGGACGCTGAGTTCCTCTGCCCTCAAGGACCCCAGTTCCTCTCCCACTAATCTCCTCATTTCACTGAAGTTGGCCCTCCTGAAGTCTAGGGCTACCACCTTGCTGCGAGCCCTTGACACTCTACGCTGGAGTTCCATAACAAATTCAATAACCATCATCCTCCCCACCCCCCACCCCCAGATCAGACTCTTGAATACTCCAGCACCAACATTTCCTTTTTAAACATTATGATCAATAGCCAGAATAGTAAAATATAGAGGTGCACCGATACATTGGTCCGATATCAGATTGGTACTGATATGAAGAAAATTGTCTATATTGGATATCGGTCCTATGGTGCTGATAATTTGATCAATAAATGCCTATGCTGCACACAGCTACAGCACATCATGGAGTAGAGCTAGCAGCATGGAGAGCTGCCTCCAGCTGGTAAGTTGGAAGGGGAGGGGGAAGGGAAAGTGGGGGGCAGATCAACATCCCCCCACAGTGAGAGAGGGGGCAGGGGCAGGCGCTGCCTGAGGGAGTGGGGGGGTGGGGGTTGCATGAGGTGGAGGCACGGCTTGTAGGGTGGGTGTAGTTCCCACTGCTGCTTGAACCCTAGGGGGGGAAGGGGGGGCACGTGCCTCCAGATCTGTGCGTGATGGGGCGGGTGACAGCTGCGGGGTGGAGCTGGAGCCAACGCTGCGTGGCTCATTTCGCCGGGGGCTGGGCTTGGAATGGGCTCCAGCAGTGCTGGGAGGAGGCTGGAGCCACCCCAAATTTCACCGCAGCTCTGCTTCCAGCCCTGAACTGCTGCCTGCATGGGACTGGGAGCAGAGATGCAATGAAATTTTGGGTGGTTGTAGCTCCCTTCCAGCACTGCCGGAGCCCACTCCGAGCCCAGCCCCCAGCAAGAAAAGCCCCATGCAATGCCGGTTCCAGCTCCACCCCACAGCTGCAGCCCACCCCGTGCCGCACAGATCTGGGGGCACACGCCTCCCCTGCCCACCCTCCTGGGGTGCAAGCAGCAGTGGGAGCTGCCCCCCACCCCACGAACCGAGCCTCCATCCCATGCCCCCCTCCATCCTCCCTGGGAAGCGCCTGGCCTTGCCCCCTCCCTCACAGCAGGGGGCCTTGATCTCCCCGCTCCACACCCCTTCCCTCCCTCCTCCCCTTCCACCACACTGGACTTACCACCTGGAGGCAGCTGTATCAGAATGGTGTCAGCCAATATGCCTCCTTATCAGCCCCCAAAATCTCTATCGGTTCACCCCTAGTAAAATACAAACCACCAGCTACAAGAAACCCAAGGACCAACATACATATCTACAAAGAACCAGCAATCATCCAAAACACACTAAGAAAGCTGTAATATATAGCCAAGCCCTCCATACCACCAAATTTGCACTGAGAAGAATACCTTCAGTCATCACCTTGTAAGTCTCCAAAGGGCTTTCATCCAACAAGGACACTCCTTCAGAGAGAGAGAGATTTTTAAAAGAGCCACCCGGATACCATGTGAAGAATTGCTGCTGTATAAAAAGAAAATCCCCATGAATCTCACACCCTTAGTTATGACATGTCATCCTTCCCTGGAACTTATACGGAAAATCTTCAAACAATTGCAACCCATACTAGAAGACCCAATTCTTAAAAAGATCTTTCTAGAACCACCCCCCCTAGCCTTTAAACAAACACCAAACCTCGCCAACCTTATCACTAGAAGCAAACTTCCTATGGCCCAAAGCACACTGAAGGGACCCAGATCATGCTGGGACATGAAATGCAAAGCCTGCCAACACATCTTCACCATCCCCACAATAACTACACCCAACAACAGAACCATCACCATTCCAGGATCTTACACCTGCACCTCCAGAAATGTAATATATCTCATCCAGTGCACCAAATGCCTTGATGGAAATTATGTAGGAGAAACCAAACAACAACTCTGTACCAGAATGAACACACCCCAAAAATCTAACAAAGACAAAAATACCCAATTACCTGTGGGTGCACACTTCTCACAAGATAACCACTCTCTCTCCAATCTCTCAGTTCTAATCCTCAAAGGGAATTTACAAAACACCTTTCATAGATGAGCTGACAAACCTGACTTCATAAATCTACTGGATACAAAAAATCATGGACTAAATGTAGACATTGGATTTACGGCAC